TTGACTAATTAAAATCATTTTTACAGATCAATAATATTAAAATAAATATCAATTTTTATAATTTTTAATAAAAATTAATTATAAAACATTATATTCATTGCACTTTTAATTTATATATTTAAGATAAAATTAGACAAACACTATATTAATTTTTACATGAAAGTTAGCTATATTTCCCTTAACTTGGGTGAGGAACTTTATAAGGGAAAGGAAGTTCGATTCTTGTGAATTCTTTTTTTTTTTTTCTTAAAAATAAAATAAATAAATTTTAAAGCAAATCGTGTCAAAGTTACAAGTGACATCCTAGTGACAAAAGTTATAAAAAATCTCCCATAAGACTTGTCTTCAAACTCTGGAGGTGATAAATCTAAGGGAAATTTCACAATGACTTTAAATCGTTTGGTTGAACAATTTAATAATTTGCATCGATTTGAACATTTTATTGGTTTTGAATGGTTCAACTTTTTATCGGTTCTAAATATTGACCTGAGCCATTTATAACATTGGGTATTAGTTCGACTAGCCAGTCCTGTCTAGTTTTCTAAACAATGCCACAAACAGTATTTTCTCTTATAATAATCTCAAGTTGTCAACTCAATCATATTCCGTTCTACATGTTTTTGAAGATAGGCAATGGGTCCGTTTTGGATTTTGATCAAAGTAATCAATACCGTATCGGTATGCATATCGATTTTGCTACTGGAATGGTACGTACTGGATATCGAAATTTTGGATATCGAAATTTTTCACGTACCATTTCGGATTTATCGTTATAAAAAAATTTTATGAAAAATTTTGGGGAGAAGTTGAAGAAAAAAAACAAGAGAAGGACTCAATTGAAAAAATTAAAAAGCTAAGGATGAAATTTACTAAAATAAACTCATAAATCCAGCTCAATATTGAGCAGCCCATCAAAACCCAAATTTAACAAAACCCTAGTTTCCTCTCTTTTAAAGGGAGAAGGAGGAGGTGGCGGCTGGCAAACAAAAAAAAAAAAGAAGAAGGAGAAAACAAAAAAAAAAAAACTTGATTTTTCTCCCTTTTGCACATCCACCATCGTCACCATCACCTCCATTCTTTCACCTCGGATCTTCACCATCCCCTTGCTGATCATCACTCTCATC